ACATTTAGAAACATCCGAACAACGTTTAGTTCTAACGTTTTTTACATCTGAAAACATCCTTAAAACGTTTGATTCTAATGTCAATAGATTGAAATTTTTGACGTCAGACCGACATTAGAATGGCAAAATTTTGTTCCACGCAAAACCACACATCGTAGCATGCCTCTACCTGTTGGAGACTAATTGTAGGTACCTGGTTAGGTAAATTGTAACATGGCAGTGGATACCTGCAAACAATGACTTCTGTGGATGGCACGCCCACCCAAATCAATATTATCGCCGAGTAGGGGATGTCTTACCCTACCTAATGGTGATGTTGATTTGCGTGGGCGAGCTTTGACTTTCTAGACATCATCGAAAGAAGTCATTGTTTACAAAAACTGTTACGCCCTAATTCCAGCTATATCTTGATATGGCAACTGACATCCGTTATGGTTGAGTAATGCTGAGTTATTAGGGCATTAAACACATATGAGGCTGGTTAGCTTTATGTTGGTTGGATTGAGGGTGATGCGCTTGGTATAGATGTGGACTGCAGCTCACTGCTTGCAGGCAGCCTTTCGTTGTGTGCTGGATAACAATGTTCAACGCCACGCGCCCAAAGCACTGCCGCTGCTGATGAGGACAGCCTTGATAGCTAGTTGCTTGCGAGGAGCCTTTCGTTGTGTACTGGAGAACACCACCACTCATCACACGGTGATTGAATAAACACCGTTTGGTTAGACCGGTTGGAATTCAACTTTGAAATCTGTATTAGGGGAACCGCTTTTCGCAGGCAATCGGTGATAATTTTAACTATCATAGCAACAATTGCACATTCATGCAATTTTCAATAATGACATTTTGAAAAATGATAAAGTCTTCAATTTAACAGATGCGTATAAACATTTCTGATCCATTGGTGATAAAATTAGTGAAATTGGTCCAAGGTCAGCTAAGTTATTAACGTTCTAAATCTTTCATACTTGTGTTACATGTTCCATTTTCGGTTTTCACAAAGTGTACCCCCATATGGAAATCACAGACGTAGTCCTACGTCAAAAAAAATGAGAGCACTAAAGAAAATTCAGGGACTTATAAAGAAGATAAGAGATTTTCCGGTAGTTCCATAATAACCAGGAAAGTTACGAGTACTTTGAGGATGATCAGAGAACTTCAAAACAGCCCCATTAACTTTAGGAAAATTGCAAGAACTTTCAAGAAGTTCCGAAGAATTATGGGATATTTCGAAGTATAATTCAGGAATTGTGGTACATTGTGGGATTTTCAGGGATGTTTTATGAATATCAGGAAAATTGCTGGATCAATAGAGCATGTGACGGACTTCAGGGAATATTGTGCTTACATCCCCCAGAAATCTATTTCTTCTAGATATTTTCCCATCTTCTCCTTGAACTATCTTTCGACTGTTCCGTAAGCCCTCTGGCGTCAGACTTTTTCCAGAAGTTTATTCCAATCTACCTTAAGAAGTTTCTCCAAGTGTCTCCTGGAAATATCTTCCGTCTTCTCCAAAAAGTTCAATTAAAGTTCTACCGGATGTATCTATCGAGTTTTCCCAGAAGTTTGTTTCGTCTTCCTCTGGAAGTTTCTCCATAATGTACTATGCATCTTTCCATTCAATAATTCAATCAGCCAGTAGTAAATGCATTTTCATTTGAAATAGCAAACGCAGCCATCGATATCATTTACACAAAATACAGCTAGTTTGACATACATTGAACGTACAGCCAAGCATGTGCGATATGAGCGCAATAACGCAGCAGTGTAACACATGTTTTGCTGACTCGTATTACCTACTTATCTACTCTGGTGGTCTTTCAATACGGACCTCAGCAGCGGGAAGGCAAAAAGCATAAATAACCAAAACAATGGCGCAAAGGGAAAACATCCAAAATACAATATTTGTCAATAACATTCTGTCCCAGGCGTCTATTCCTATCTCATTTTTACTTATTGCACTATTGTAAATTGAATCATATACAACCCTGAAGAGTTCTGAAAATAAAGGTTCAGTCTCGGATATACCACTGACACAAACGAAGTGACAGACGGAGCGGCTCGAAAACTTTGGTGACTAACCTGCTATTGCAATTTTTCAGTGTACCACATGGCAACACCACTACCACTGGATTGTACCACATGGCAACACTACTACTGGATTGAACTAGCATTTTCACCAAATGTACTAGAATGTTTTGGTTCTATCTCTTTCACTCTACTCAAAACTAAAATGCATAAAAAAAATGACAAAATGATACACTCTTTGCACACTGTCAAAGAATCATTGTACATAGAATCAACTTTGTTCAAATCAAAACAAAAAAACTAACCCATCTGGTGGATGATGGCACAAGCTTCCAAGAAAATTCTATTACAGTGAACCACATTATTTTAATGGATTTCTTCGCCAGTTAGTCGTCTGTCACTTCGTTTGTGCCACTGACTTCAACGCGAGTCCCGACGTAAGTCGGAGAACCACCGCTTCTTGAAGAAAGAAAGCCATTGACTAAGAGTGACTTACGGACTAGTGATAGTCGGTAGACCACCACTCTGGTCTCAAATGAACAGGAAGTAGAATTCCGTATTCGCAAGTAGAATGTCATATTCAGTATGGCCACAATAAGTCACTCTCCGTAGTTTTTTTCCGACTTATTGGAATTTTTTTCCGAGCTTCTCATAACTTCCCCTGGAAATGGCTCCTCTGAGATTGGCTTCAGATTTCCAAACTTTTCTGTCTTAATTTGTTCCGAAAGTTTCTAGAAATTTTAGCCAGAATTTTCTCAATATTTGCCTTGGAAGATCCCCATTCGATGTTTTTTAGATATGTTTAGAACTTCCTTCAAACTTCCTCCACAAGATCTTCTTTATTCTTCCTTTGGAAGTTTTGTCGGTCCCATTAAGAGACTAATTCAAATATTTCCCAGAAATTTCTTCCGACTTACATAGAAAGTTTGATTTTAGTCCAAAAGTTTGAAAAAAATTAAATAAATTAAAATAGTGAATACCGACAAATACCGATTTTTTAATCATTTGATACCGATAATCATGAAAACAATCTGGCAACGCTGATACGAAATGCTCCCGTGACATGTCGGGTACTGGTGCGCATGCAAAATAAGCTTGACGATGTTTTTTGAAGTGTTTTCATTTAGGATATATGTCTGTTTGTCTTTGCTCTAACTCTGAAATCCGTTATTTTCAACAGACTTGCAATTGCTCATTACAGCTAAAATGCTATTTTCGTTATTATGAAACAATGGGATACTATAATGATATTTTTTATTTGTAAGATGCAAGAAGAGGTGGTAAAGATTGTATATGACATATAAAATTTGTCAATTTTGCTTTCAGAAGGTCACAACTAGCGATTAGCTGTAACGATGAGCAACGCGATGAGCAACGCGATGAGCGAGCAATCAGCGATCATAAAATCAGCGATCCTTAAAAATAGCAAAATTGACAAATTTTATATGTCATATACAATCTTTACCACCTCTTCTTACATTTTACAAATGAAAATTATCATTATAGTATCTAATTGTTTCATAATAACGAAAAATAGCATTTTAGCTGTAATGATCAATTGCAAGCCTGATTTTCAATATTAAAAACTAAATTCAAATAGCACAACAACAAAAAACTTACCGCTTCACTTTCATTTTCTTTTATTTTGAACCGTTCTCGATTGATTCAGACGTAAGACTTGCGCGAAAACGTCAATCCAATTCGATTTTTGTCGAAATTCATTCATATCGACATTGTTGTCACTGCATTCGGCTACCAGAATCGGGCGACATAAACAACTCGGATCGTTTCGCCTCACGCGAAACGTAGAATAAACGGTTCCAGGTCGTTTGGACGAATGCCGTTTGGCTGAATGCTGTTTGGCCGAATGCCCAACAACAAAACTCCAAAGAACTGCTCATATTTGAAAGAAGGAAAAATCTCCTAAAGACTGGACTAGGAAAAAATGCGACACTTTGTTTTGGGTGTAACTTTTTATCGCGTGGGATAAAAATTAATGAAATTTTGGGTAATACTAGTTTAGAGTGTTATGTATATGTGTGCAAAATTTTATCGCGATTTATCAAGTAGTTTTCAAGATGCATTCGAAACAAGAAGAGCTACGCCAGCAAATCTTGGGCGCGGTGATCGATAATCCTGGTCAGTCGCACAGATGGATCGGCAAAAGGCTTGAAATCCACCATTCCACCGTGTCCCGCGTTGTGAAGATGTTCCAGAAGACGAAGACTATCGAGCGGCGCGCTGGAAGCGGCTGAAAACCGAAAACGGAATACCCAGAGAAGGCGCGGAAGATAAGGCAGTACTTTAAGAATAACCCGAACCTTTCCACCCGAGACGTGGCCAAAAAGGTCAATTCGGCAAAGTGGTTCGTCCAGCAGACCATGAAGCGGGCTAAGCTACGTGTTTTTAAGGTCAGGAAGGCGCCAAACCGGACTGACAAGCAAAACACGGTGGCCAAATTGCGTGCGCGGAAGCTGTACCGTGAGTGGCTGGTCAAGCCAGTCTGTCTCGTCATGGACGACGAGACATACATCAAGGCGGACACCAAACAAATCCCAGGCCTCAAATGAAATTCAATAAATAAATTATGCCAAAACATAGCTAATATATAGTTATTTAATCCCTGAAAATTTGAGAAGTATCCGATTTAAAATGAATTTTTGGTGATCATTTTTGTGTGTCTCATTTTTCCCGAGTCCAGTCTTCATTTTTAAATTCTGATTTGTCTTAATTTTCTGACAAGCTGCGTTTACTGTGAAAAAAATAATAAGATCATCAAAACTCCAAAGAACTGCTCACGTTAAAAATAGTGGCTAAAAAATACCAATTATTAGTTATGTCTTTATCTTTAAAAGAAAGATTAATCCGACGAATTTCAGTTTAATACAATATACAATTTAACAAAAAATCCATAAACAATATATATAATCACTAAGTCCTTGATTTGTTTACCGTCGATCTTGTTTTCCGTGCACCAATGCTACCGACGCCAGGGAGGCAGCTCCCACATCTGGACCCTACCTATCGACCCATCAACTCATGAACCGGGGACTAACGGCTTTACTTCCCTTGATCAGAGATGTTATGCCTCAGAAAATCCCGACGGTGCCGACTGGGATTGAACCCAGGCCTGCTGAGGAGAAGGTAATCACGCTTACCACTACACCACCGGCACCGCTTAATCACCTTTGTGCATATGTTGACCTGTTTATTTAATAAACATAATAAGGTAGGTAGATATAAAATTCTTGTATCAAAATTCGATTCTTAATAATAAACAACAATTCAAAAACATCAAATTTAAGAACAAAATAAGTAATCTAAGGCTATGGCATCCAATCACTATCCGAATCTCCATCGTCTTCGCCCTTCTCGGAATGCACCGTATCTTCGTGGTCTGCTTCTTTCAATTTATCATGTTGATCATTTGCTACCGTATCAACCGTGTCCTGATCCGTAACTATCATACAATCATCATCATTGTCACCGTTTGCCACAGGGACTTTTGCCGATGTTTCAGCAGCGTCCATCTTGGGGCCGGGCGTCTTCGAACCGACCTTTACAAAATTTGTCATCGATAGCTGCAAGGCTCGTCGCTCCGGTCGGATGTCCCCTCGGTACCAATTCATGGGGACCTGGGGCGTTCGGTTTTGGTTTGAATTGCCATACGGAACGGTACTGATAACTTCCTGTGGCCGTAGGAATCGAACGAATCGCTTCAATTCGTCGAAGCTGGAATGTTCCGAGTACTCAACACCGATGATATTTATCCGGCCTCGGTACTGAGGCCGGCTGTTCTTCTCCCAACCGCTGGGCCGAAGCGCGATGATCAAGTCATACCGATCCGGGAATTGCTCCACGTGCGTGACTAGTTGCTACGAATAAAAATGTTTTGTTAGTTTGAATATACATGCTGGAAACTTGAACCAAGTAAAGCGTACATCATAAAACAGCTTGTTCATGGAAAGTACGTGAATGTCGGCATCGTTAGGCTCGTCTACTAACCGCGCCTGTTGCAGAGGTTCATTGATCGCCGCCAGTGCCTTCCGCCGGTTCGGTTCCGTCCAGACTTTGTAGTTAAATCGTTCTGCAAGTTCGGTCCAAACCTTTTCCTTCCCAATCAGATAGCTACCGCAAACGATGAGTACCCGAGCTCCAATGTTTCGATCCAGGAGTGTTTTCACCGCAACGCGTGCTTGCGTAATGCTTTCATACTGGGATTTGAAGGCATACTTGGAGGAGAGATATGTCGTGTCTAGGTAAATGCAGTGGATGTCGATGTTCCAAAATTCCGGATATTCTTCCATATCGGCACTGGCGCGGAAGTCACCCGTGTGAAGAATGTTGGTCCCCGTGGGCAGCTGAAACAGGAACATCACCGCACCCGGACAGCTAGAATACGTCAAATATTATTGCTTCTTCTTTCAGGCTTTGACGCTCTTAAACGGGCTTATGCCTGTTCTTAACTTAGTGTTCTTATCAATTGAGACATTGAGAGCTTTCCATGTTTACTTATGCACAATTTCGTATATTGTGCGCCAAGCCAGGGAAGTTGACAAAATATCAAAATATTAACTGTCAAGGATTTATGATGCCCAATTTGAAATGTTGATACCCCTTAAAATGTTGTAACGCACAATTTGTTTTGAATTCACCAATGAATGCTCTACTGCGAAATTACCGGCTTCTTAAATGCAGTGCAGACAACCAGATCAATAAGTCTCAAATCGGAATTGGTTACAAAGGACGTACTGAAAACCTCTGAGCCGCATTGTGTTTAAATCAATCGAAGCTTTAATAATGCGGTATCAGTAAGCCAACGCGGCACCAAGTTGAAAAGGAAAAGCCAGTATTAACAACCAGGGATAAAGAGCAGCAAGTAGTCGAGAAAATCTAGATAAAATTCGACTTACTGATTAGCATCCAGCGCCGTTATCCGAACATCATCGATCACGATCGTGTCGTGCAGTTCGATCAACTGATAGAATTCTTCACCGACGTTGATGAATGCCTTCACCAACCGCGACGTAATGGGAGACATGATCAACGGTTTGTCAAAGCTACGCTTCAGTCCAATATAATGATCTGCATGAAAATGCGTCAGAAAGTAATGCGACACTCCTTCAATGTCGCCATATCGGAATCCATCGACCGCAAACGTCGTTCCGGCAATAATTTTGTACTTCGGGCAAACGATTTTTCGCCCTTGGCGCTTCCCCACCGCTGCAGGAGTTTTCGCCGGACGACCTTTCTTCGCCGTCGATTTCGATGCCACAGACTTCCGCTTCACGGCGGTTGTTTTTGATTGCTGACCAGCAGCTTTTGTTTCGGTTGATGCCGGGCCATCGTTCGAGTAGCCCGAATCGACCGCATCTTCGTTCCCAGGGATGACAACCATCACGGGAACATTCTCAATCTCCATGTTCCAGTCTTCCTTTTTCTTATCGTAACAAGCACTTTGTACTTTCTCGATTCGTTCCATAATCTTCTCCGGGTCATCTGGAATCGGATCCAATGCAGGTCCTCGAATCTGACTAGCTCGCAATGGTTGCGTTCCGACGTTCATATCAATCGACAGGAATTCTTCCATGTTTTCATCGCCCGTATTGATAGCCGGCATGGCAGACGATTTTAGCACCCGATGGTACCCGACCCGATCCAGGTCTTCATCAGTCTTAGCAAAGAATTTCGTAATCCGCTTTTGCGACTCATCAAAGTACTTGTTGGTCAGCATTTTGATGCTGGTATTTTTGCAAATTTGTCTTCGCACCTTTTTGACCTTCTTCGGGTCAGTCTTTGGATAGGTCTCCTTACGGGATGACGATTTTTGTGTCGTGCTTTTCAACGTGCTGACATCCATCGCGGAAGATGACGAATTCCTACACGCTTTCGTGGGAGTGAAGTATTCGGAAATGATTATCTTCTTCGGTGTTGGACTAGCTTCCCGATCGCTGCCACTACTGACTGATATCACCGAGATGGGAACCCGATGTTTACGATCTTCATCGAGATTTGATTCCCGCGAAGAGAGGGTAACAGCATCCGGTGCCTGAGAAATCAGGTCATCCTCCTCGGCCAGGGTAAGTTTGGTCAGCTTGAACGGGTCCTGACTTAGTGCATGCATCATTTCGTCGTCACCGGGATTGGCCAAAGCGTGTGGTTTGTTCTGGAATAGAGCGAGCGGTCAGTAAGCTGTAGCCTTCAAACATGACGTGTTCGGATTATCTATACCCTCGAAGAACGTCTTGTACAACCGACTTTGGAAGCTGACTCACTAAACTTTTTCGACAGTGAGAGCCGACTGGAACATCTCCGACTGGAGCTGGGTTGCGGCGAATCCATTTCCACGATTTCCACACAAAAATTGTGCACTTTTCGGGTAAACAATATATAATTTGAAAAATGCTATAAGTTAGCATTTCCCCCACTTCAACCTGTAGAATAGTACGTATTTATTGTTCACGATAAAACGTTTTAAATATTTTGACTAAAAACCGAGCGACTTTTTGTTTACATTTGTGTTGTTAGATCAGGATTGCCAAAAACAATCATTCGTGCAAAAACATGAATGCAAGAGCAAATTTTCATTATGTCGTAAGTAACATCCGCACCGATCCGAGAAAAATAAAGTTTTGTTTTGATGACCGAAAAGTTATTCCTATTTCCAATTAAACACATATAATCTCATAGTGATAGCAATGTTTAACATATTTAGCCGGGTTTTAATCATACAAAGGCAAATCGCTAGCTTTCATGCTAAGAAATACTGGTTTTTGAGTCAAAAGTTATTATACGTCGTTTGGTGGCCCGTATTGTTACTTAAGTCAAAGTGCATTTACCAGGATATTCGGGAGAATTATCAATTACGTCTCCTTACGAGCAGCCCATTCATCATTTTAGGACCACCGAAATCATCTTAGCAACAAACAGTTCGATTTATTCACTTTAATAATGAGAAAGCGAAACAACGAACGTACACTTTTCACGGGTTTCTCAGCGCTGTTACTTAAGTCAAACGGCATCTCCATAGAAATTGGGTGACTTAAGTAACATCGAAAACTATTTTGATCGGAAGGTGATTACGTCAAAAAGCAATTTGACTGGTAAATAAATTTAAAAATGGGATTTGATCCTATATTCGGACAGTATATAGTGTAATAGCAGGAGAATCGATTGACACTGATAGCTCGACTTTGTTTACCTTTGTTACATTCGACGTAATGAAAATTTGCTCTTGAATGCTAGACAAACATGTGAAAAAAGCCTATGTGCCAACAAGTAAACATTGAGTAGTTTGCAGCAGTGCTGATCTAATGTGGACCGTACACGATTACTTTTATTGACAATAATCGTATTGTCAATACATTCAATATTGACGTCAATACATCGGTAATATCTGTATTCACATCATCAATATTAATGTCAATAATTCCTCTTCCCTTCAATATATTGATACGTGTGGGGTTTGCTTAAGAAGAAGAGGAGACAATCACCCCTATTCTGTATTTCGTTTCGAACGAAATTCTCATACAAAAAAATATTTTTTTGTATGAGAATTTCGTTCGAAACGAAATACAGAATAGGGGTGAATAGCAGGACTTTTAAGAACCAATTTTCTGTCAAACGCATCGGATTGCATGGGATTTATAACAGGGAGTATTAAATATATTTGGTGGTAGAGATTGTATATGACTTATAAAATTTGTCAATTTTGCTTCCAGAAGGTCACAACCAACTCCCCGGCAAGGTGACAGATAATCTTAGTTTCACGTACCCACTTGCAAATAGTAGATGTCGCCACACAACGTAAACAAAGGGACTGCCCTTCACCGCCGCAATGGTATTTCCATAGAGGTAACTCTAAGACCACTGGGTCCCGAAGAAAATCATTATTATTTTTGGCTCACTCAGTACTAGAACAACGGTCCCAAGCAGTCCCAAGCTATTTCACTCACCCCTGCATGTTCTGCATGAATCCACACACCCCTGATGTTATCTGTCAAACTTTCATAGCGAATCAAAACAAACATAGTGTAGTAATAGAATTTCAACTAGAATAGGGTACGTTAATCGTTTGCTTGGGACCAATAGGCTACTAAAGTGGTGAGCCAATTTAAAATCGTTAGTTTCGTATTGATTGTTGGTATTTCTCTATGGGAACCCGCATAAACGCGAACCATAAATTGACCTTACCTAAAATGGTTAAAAATTGTTTATAATCCCTGCTAAACTTTAACTGAAATGGTTATGGAACTTTACATGAACGTTTAATGATAAAGTTTCAACCTTATGTATTATGGTTTTTTGGAACTGGACCTTACAAATAATGGGTTGTTAAGAACCATTACCGTTCCAAATTCTTGTTTTCTCCATACATGTTCGGAAAGAGAACTATATTAGAACCTTTTAACTTATGGTTTGAGAACTTTAATGGTAATGGTTATGGTAGTCAGTAAGGTCCACGAATGGTTTTGTAACATCGATCAACTTTATGTGGAATATATCGCGGATTGGTTGCCTGTAATTTACTGATTACCAATTCACGATATATTCCACGTAAAGTTGAGCGATAATACAAAACCATTAATGGACCTTACTGACTACCATAACCATTACCATTAATGTTCTCAAATCATAAGTAAAAACGTTCTTATATAGTTCTCTTTCTGAAAATGTATGGAGAAAACAAGAATTTGGAATGGTAATGGTTCTTAACAACCCATTATTTGTAAGGTCCAGTTCCAAAAAACCATAATACATAAGGTTGAAACTTTATCATTAAACGTTCATGTAAAGTTCCATAACCATTTCAGTTAAAGTTTAGCAGGGATTATAAACAATTTTTAACCATTTTAGGTAAGGTCAATTTATGGTTCGCGTTTATGCGGGAAGGCAACTTTTTGTTTCACCATGTGTGGATGTCAAGCAACAAGCAAGAATGCCATGTGAAAAGAGCGATTTATGATTTTCGTGGTGAAATGAAATAAATCCAAACAAATTGGAACAGATTGATGGAAGTTTTTCTTATATAATCAAATAGAAATAAAAACACATTGGTTGATTCTATTATATTTTGCTCTTGAATATTATCAGTCTTGAGAATAATGTTTCTGAGCATACTTGTGCGGTGAAGACTTGCAATAAAAAGCCGTATTATTAAAAACAGTTTACTTCCCCATCTTTCTATTGAGGGGTGAAAAAAAAAATACAAAATTGATTCTTATTCGCGGTGAGTAGCAGGTTTGCTGTGTGAACACTAACATTTCGTATATTCATTCAAACATGAAGAAATAAATAAAATAAATTAAAATAAGCGTCTCTCAACAAAAGATATTCATAATGAGCTTCTAAAACGAATAAATTTCAGTGATTGTCTTTTGTTACACCCGTCCGTTTAATTAACATTGTTCCCCACCAACTTGAAGTTTCAAGAAACAGATGAGGCTATCTGTTTTTATGTTCAGTATTTTATTTACTTTATTTACATATCTGCATTCGCCCTATTCAGATAACACTTCTGAAATTTGTGAGATTGACAGAGCCACCAGCACCAAATTTTCGGAGTACACTGGAAATGTACTGGACTTGTCAAGTTGCCCCCGGGTTGGTCACAACTAGCGATTTTATGATCGCTAATTGCTCGCTCATCGCGTTGCTTATCATTACAGCTAATTGCATCTTACAAATAAAAATTATCAATATAGTATCCCATTGCTTCATAATAACGAAAAATAGCATTTTAGCTGTAATGAGCAATTGCAAGCCTGGATCGAGGCCTGGATACGTCCCTTCGAAAAAGTAATCGAGAAATCTTGGTTTGTTTACAGGCCCTTTTCATAATATGTTCGGCAGAATGAAGAGAGCAAAAGAAAGCAAAATGCGCGCGCTCTGCAATGTTCTAAAAAACGGGTCTGGTAAATACTCTACACGCTATTTCAAAACTTCCTAAATTTGGGTAGAATCCACCCAGATCGGTCAAAACTGAACCTACCCAAAAATGGGTAAACTGTGTTGGGAGTGACAAGTTGACAAATGTAGAGTCGGTGTATAATGAGTCACGCCAAGAGTGAAGCCAAGTCTACCTATTGAACTGTCAAATCGGCTACCTATCGTGCAAAGTAAATAAACATTACGATGCTATGAAAGGTCCACGAAAGGTATTGTAATGAAATATAAAATAAAATTGAAGAAATCATCATAAACACGCAGCGAGCATTAAATGGTCATGGGATACGTTTGGTTTTGATCAGTAATGAGAATTTCTACTATTTTTTGATAAGATAATTTGACAAAATCACTGATATTATGATTCACTACAGCCGTTATTTTTGGTTCTCACTAGAAGTCATTTAAAGTTGATGTAGAAGTCCTCTGTTGCCAAGTGAAAAGAAAGGGAATCCTTCGGAAACCGTGATGCGAGTTCAACTGTTTTTCTCTTGGCGTGACTCATTATACACCGACTCTAGACAAATGAACAACATCGACACCATCGACATGAATCCGATCAACGTTGTTCATTTGTCAACTTGTAACTCCCAACACAGTTTACCCATTTTTGGGGAGGTTCAGTTTTGACTCGAAATACTCAGAGGGAGAGATAGGTGGAGAAAACAAAATACAATTCAGCAGCAGGGATTTGTATCTAAATTCCCGCATAAACGCGAACCATAAATTGACCTTACCGATAATGGTTATAAATTGTTTATAACCCTAATAAAAAATTACCACAAACGAACGATAACCCAAATCATTGAACAATTCCACAAATGGTTTGGATGATACCCCAAACACGTCGTTAAGCAAATTAACCATACCATTTTTATTAAAGAATCCCTCCTTAACTTTAACTGAAATGGTTTTGGAACCTTACACTGAAACAAAGACCATACACACAAAAAATAATAATTTCTAAAATTAAAAAAACCATTGGTCAAATTAAAAGTTTTCGTTGGTTCTTTTTGGTAGAAAGTCCGAAGCATTCAGAATAAAAATGTGTAGCCTGTCAAATCAAAAGTTAAGCCCCTCATTAATTTTAAAAGTTGAAGCTTTCGAATCAAATTGTAGAACTGTCAAATGAAAAACCAATGCTTTTAAAATAGAGTACAAAATGTTTCAAATAAAAAAGGTTTTTTTTTATCATGACAATATATGTTTTATCTCAAATTTGAAATATTATCAGGTTAATAGTTTTCAAGATTAAAGACAAATACCCTTACTCATATTTGTACCATTTATAAAAATTGTCTTTATTCATATACTTTGTATAGAAAATGAAAATACATCATTGTTTTTGAGACCAGTGCAGATTTCGTCTGAGTCCTAGGATTCAAATGCCATCAACACCGATGAAAGAACACCACCTGCCACTGGAAACGACCACCACCCGAACTAGATCACTAACGGTCCAGGATAATTCATACATCATTGTGTTGTTGTTCAGCCGCTCTACATCCACATACCATCGGCTGGCAGATTCCGGAATGATGGGTTTGGTGCAATGTTACGG